AGTAAATTGAAATTACTAAAAAAAAAAACCAACACAAATTTGAAATTTGGAAAGAATAGGAATATATACCAAACGAATAACACATAAAAAAAATCGAAAATAATAAATAAAAAAACCAATGATCATAATATATGAAGGAAAGGATTTGAGAGTTAGTCTGTACGACTAGCAGTTACAGTGGTTCATTGTTTCCTGTTAATATAGATGTCGAGTGCACATTAACGTTTACTGATTTTAAATGTTTTAACCAAAAACTATCAATCAATATAATCGTTATAGGGGGACACGGTGGCCGAGTGGTCTAAGTAGTTATTACTGTAATCACTAGCCAGTTAACACTGAGGTTTTGAGTTCGAACCCCGCTCGTGCGGGTGTACTCGACTCCAATCTTAATTGACTAGGATTGTCAGTTTTCCTATCGAAGGTCGGTGGTTTTCTCCGGGCACTCCGGCTTCCTCCACCAATAAAAACTGGCCGCCACGAAATAGCCTAAATACGGTGCTTAAAAGTGGCGTTAAAACACCATACAATTTAAACAAATATATTCGTTATAGGTGGTTTCGTTGCATAGTAAGAAACCAACAGGTTTTAAATTATAATAAAATACATGTATGGCCACAACTTACAATTGTCTGACCTCATAGTCAATCATGAAAGAATCTACCATTTGCATTTCAGGAAAAAGAAACATATACATGCAGATAATTCAATACACATATCCTGCATTGAGAGTATTGACGAGAGAAATCTATTTCATGGAACGAATTCCTTAGAAGTCTGTTATGGGATTTGTACAAACAGTTTCGATTTCAGGACTAGTGGTAAAAATGCCACTCTTTATGGTGACGGATCGTATTTTGCTCGAGATGCAAGATATATCCACAACTATACATTGGCATCTAATGAAGGTGGTCGATATATGTTTAGAGCAAAAGTCTTAATTGAAAATTTTACCCAAGGTCATTCCTTTTTGCGACGTCCTCCTGTAATTCCTGGACAAGGTCATAAACTATCGATTCTTGTGTTGACAACCAATCTAGTACTACTATACACATAGTATTTGATAGAAACAAGAGCTTTCCAGAATACCTCATAAACTATAGGAAGGCACATGTGCCCAAAGTTTCCAATGCTCAAAGTCAAAGTATAACTGGTATCAGCAAAACTACATCATCCGTTAGTTAAGTGAACTTGCAATCTGTGACAAATGTTTTGCAACCATCTATAATAACGTCCACTTCTCAGACCCAAAACAATACTATGGCTAGTTATAGTACACCAATTACGGTTCATGTTCCATTTTCCGCTCCTTATCAATTCCAAAGTCAGCAAATACAAACCTCATAGACAGCTTCAATTTCAATAATAGAAGTGCCATGTCATCTGACAAAGAAGTATCACAATCACCAAACGATGCTTTATCCACTTCAATGCCACAAATGACAAACATCAATTCAAATGTGCCAATTACAAAAACAAACCAATGCCCAAATGATTCCTTCCGCACAAGACGACAGAGGAGATTTGATTCCGACGACAAATCTTCAGCATCTAAAACAAATGATTTTGCTGGTCCTAATTGTCGGGCAAACAGGTTCAGCTCACGTGTGTTATCTCAACAGACGGATGCATATGCTCACCGACAATTAAAAATCCAACAAGAGCAAACGCAGAAGACATCTTTATTTTTTGAACCTGAAATTACGATTATACCGTGGATACCTGATAAAATTGCAGCCAAATCACCCATTGCTGGTCAAGCACAACCTGTACCACTCGTTCCTGTTTGAAAAATGTTAAAGTGAGCGAGAAATCAAGAAAGACAAAAGACGGTGTGGTTCCATAGGGCTTCATACTACATTTGGGAACACCAAAACTTTATGATAGCAATTAATTTCAAACATTGTAACGAAAACAGGAAAAAAAAACAGAAATAAAAGAAGATAGCAATTTTTGTATCTGTAGTGTAGTCACTTCATGTTTGACGAAAAGATTGAAATTTTACAGCACTCATTGTATAAGAAACATTTTTGTTAAAGTTTTCTTGGCTCCTTTTGACGTGAGTTGTTTCAACATATAATCTTGGAAAGCCCAAGTTTAAATATTACTTCAATGGATTTTATGAATCAGTTTCAGACCCGGGAGTGGACATGAGGAAACCCATACATTGTATTGGAATTCAAATGATGAGCTGATATCTGTTTATGCTCGGAGTTTGACTGTTTACACATAGCTTTTGATAGTCTTAGTCGTTTTTTTGGTCATACAATCCATTACGTTTTAAAGTATTTCCTCTGGTTTTCAAATAATGTAGGTATTTCCGGATGTAGTAAAGCGACACTCGGATGCAAATTATTTATAAAATTATTTCGAATACTTTTAGATTGGTACTTTGTGTCTTTTGTTTTCATGTTAGTTGTTTTAAGCTTCGTTTTAATCTGTTACGTAAGGGTAAGTCATTTCAAACTGTTTTTACTATTATTTCTTATGTTTTAACCTCACAAACATGCTTCATGTGGATGTCTGAATTTAGACGAGTTTCATTATGTTGATATCTTTTGATATGATAAAGGTTCAACGCATCCTCAAATAGCGTACGGAGACATGTATATCACAAAACGGGAAACTTCCATTAACAAAGTTAGCCAATACTTCCACTCAATAAAAGACCACGTGAACTACCCAACTCTCAATTTATCGGAAAAAACAAGCCTACAAATACGAACAATATATGTTTCCGAGTCAAAATTTCCACAGACACAAAATGAGGTGTGTGTTTACTTGTATTTTGCACCCGAACCATCCGCGTTGCCTATCTAGACCATATTTCAAATTAAACACCCAATAAAAAACCCTGCACAGTGTAGTATTTTACTGATATCAACATGAATAACGCTTTGTAGAGTTTGCTTACGCATAATATTTAACCCCTTAATATATAATTCATATTTGTTTATCTCGCACTTTATTTGTTCACGTATGCCCTTTTTACATTTCACCAGTATATGTTTATTGCTAGAGCTTTATGAACATGAAAGTTTATAGCTAGACGTTTTTGTGAACTTGTTAATATATACTGTCCTTCACTACTTGATGATTTCAATGCTGAAAATTGAACATTCAGGTTATCTATATTTCCCCTATAGTCACAATAGTTATAAAATTTTCCTTTAGGGATAATTTTGCATTTTCAAGACGGATCAAGATACTAATAGACGTATTTACAATTGTATGAAAATGTGTCTACCACTTCTTAAAATTACACAAGTTCCCGTAAAATTTGAAATCACAATGAAAACGTTGACGTCATAAGTAAAAGTAATAGTTGCTTGACGTCAGAAGGTTATTCAGATGCAGATCTAAGGTATTTATTACATTCAAAAATGTGCACCACCAATCCGGGAGACTATTATTCTGTTGTTACAGAGCAAGTTAATGAGCGAATACATTCTATTCCCCAAAACTAATTTGACAAGCAAACTAGAAACGTTGCAAAAATTAACTTTTCAGTTTTTTACTTTTTAGCAGAAAATTTGGAATTGTGTTTTGTTATATGACATGTCGATATATAGAAGAATATGTATACAATGAATCACATTAAAAAATTACTTTTCTTTTCAATAATGTTAGGTTTTAATGAATTACACTGGTCATTTAAATATCCGAATTCAGTTTTTAGTCGGTAAATATATGTTTAAGGTGGAAATATTTGAAACAATAGTTTTGAAAAGAACAAACGAACATCTTTTTTCCACATGATAGTACATCTCTTAATGTATTTTTTTTTAATGAAACATATAGTTCATATTTGGAACAACTATGTTCAAGATCCACCGCTATTGTATAGTATTCAGAGAATGGAATTCTCTCACTGTGATGCAATCGACGATTAAGGATGTTCGGTAGTTAGATTATATTTTATATTTCTGTGGCGGTTTTCGTCTGTCAGTGAAAAGTGATATGAAATCGCTAGCTTACGCCCGCCAGATGAACATATTTGTATAGTGTCTGTCTCCAGCCAGAAAAATCTTATGTGTCTTGTATTTTCGGGAGTTTGGATTTTGGTTGTATCATAGATATAATGGCTATTATATCTATGGTTGTATTGACATATCTTATTAGTCAGTTCAATTGAAACTTCATGACTTGGGTGGGTGCTTTAGAATATGATCTTGTAGAACACCTATCTATTGTCGAAGACCGTTTATTGACCTCCAAAGTTCGTTTTCTTTATATGTCGTTGGGTTGCCGTCTCCTACAGGTATACCCCACATCTGCTTAAATAAATTGCTGACAGTTTATCAAAGTATATTGTTGCGTGAAACTTGAATAGAAGAAAGTGTTTCAAAATATGTTCTACTGTTAAACCAAGTATTCATGTCAGATGATGTAAATCATGAAATGCACGAGAAAGTCAATCCTTTCTGGTTACGTTTATAGAAAGTAAATTGATGTATCCAAGTAGAATAGTCAGATGTGCATATTGTTTAAAGTTTAATCTTGAAAAATTCTTGCAAATCGCAAAACATTGTCTTATGACAAAAATATTGAAAAAACTAAAACAGTTTAATAGACATCTTCAAATTCTTAAATGATTTTATCTTTGATTTATAAATCTAATAATACTGCAATGTTTTTGTGCGTAAAACATTCTGATTATTTTCTCGGACGATTAAATTAATTCTCGATCACGCTGTAACAAGTTGCTTTCAAGCTGTAATAAGTAGCAGTTAAAATGGTCCTGAACTAAGACTAAGGAATTTTAAATATAGAATACCCTTACAATGTCGCAAAACATATGTTTTATTTGTACAAGACTTAGAAACAGCTAGAAAGCGAGGCTTTTCCGTGAACCTGTTTTGAGCTGAGTAAAAAAAGTTTCCATTTTGAAACAATGTATGGTTATTCTTTATATACTGCATCTCATACAACTGTTCCAAATCAACGTTAAAATTCTGCGAACTGTACTTTTAAGGACGTCATAGATAAAACTCTACCGAAACATTAACAATAACTTCTTAATTATATATTACTTCTATCATATAGATTTATAATGTTATCACAACATAATTGTATACACAGTGGGATACTGTTCCAAATTTGAAGTGTCTCAATTTTTTAACATTGATTGCATGAATGTTTATTATCGAAACACAAGGAGATAATCAGGATAAGCTTGCGCATCGTGAAATATGACAAATATTCTTGGTGATGAGGGATTGTCCACAACGCTATCATATAAAATGTGTGATCCTGACGCCCCATATTTTGGTGGAGGAACTCTCATGTCCCGTTGTCCTTTGGCATACTCGCCGACGAGAACTTTGCATAAATACACCCTTTTACTGTTATCATGGTCAGGCGTTGAGTATTGTGACTTTGTTGAATATGATGAATTTACTGCAAAGTATACCCCATTGCCATAGGAAGCAGCTGAAAAGAAATAGCACACGATTTTATGAATATATTTATACGTATGATTAATATATCAGAACTAATTCAATGATTCTACATAATATGGAAAGATTCTTTTCTTTTTTTTATACATTTCCTCATGACGAGCAGTAAAAGGTGCTTTATCAACAACACGCAATATATCAATTATACATATATCGTGAACTTAAATATCTCATCAAATGTTTTCCAGATTATTATAACGGTATCAATAGCAAGCCCTTTCATATCGTATCACTGGGGATATATATATATATATATATATCATATGCAGGCACTGCTGTAATCTTATATATATTCCAATTGTTGATGAATCATCCTCTATTCAAGAACCGTTTAAAATTTAAATGCAAAATTTGTTTTTTGATTTTCCCTTTTTATTTTTTATTAAATCGTTTGGGCAAATATTGCATACGATTCTTTTATTAAAGCTGCTTAACAATATTTGATAGATATTCCTTTATAAAAGGTCGTAATTATGAGTTTGAATTACCCGAGGTTCGTTTGTATTTATGCAGGCTATATTATATGCAAGTTGTGTTCCGGCCTTTCGTGCTTTAGGCTGATTTTAAATTGTTAAATACCCGTTATCTCCCCTTTTACATGTGTTTTGAATAAAATGAATTATACATTTTTCTGATAACATCATAACTTGGGTTGTCGAAACACAAGTATAAATTACTTAACCATTTTTTCCACAATAACCTCTGTTGAAACCATATGTATTTATACCATCGACTGCTTCCAGTGTGGTGCCATGCCATAATTTACGTTCATTGTTGAAGCAGGAGGGGTTAATAGAGTCCATTAATTTCTTTCTGGCTATGTATTGCTGGTGCAAAGTCCTGTTCTGAATTCTTTCAACCTTTCAAGTTATTACCATGACACCAATAAGTGTTTGTTAAAATCAATAGATATAGTCACTCAGAATGATAAAGATAAAATCAAGAATGTTTGTGCTTATGATTTATTATATAAACTATTTTCCTATATCAAAATCATGCTTTTACTTTATGTTAAATCTGGAAGGAAATGAACGAAAAAATTGCAAATGTAAAAGTATTCGAACTGTACAACAATGATATAGGCAGCTTGGCTATTTTTGTTTGGTCATATACATGTAGCTCTTCAATTGTTTCGGTTCTTAAACATCCTTGGCTTTCAAATATATGAATATGAGCGTTCCCGATGAAGATTAATCATGAAAAGCGCTTCGGACGAAGAAAATTTATATAACGTGTTGTATTCAATTCTTTTTCAATTGTTTCCTTATGAGTGTTTAACGCACAAAGAAAATATTTGCAGAAAAACTAGCCGAACATATATACTTAGTATTCAGTTTCATGAATGACGCGGGTTAAAGCACTTACGAAAAAATCAATATGTTTAGATATTAAATAGTAAATATTATAAATCTTCATACCTTGATAATGTCATAATGTTTTGCAGATGTTTGTTTGAATTCGTCTACAACATCTTTATATTCCTGATCATGTGGATGTAAGATAATTGTTGTAATCATTTCATGAGCCTCCATACCTGTCCATTTTGATGGAACATTCTCGGAACTATCTATAGAAAAAATTAAAAAAACAAACCATTTGTGTTATTCCTTAAAAATATTCTAGAAGCACACACGAGGTGAATAAGCTTAATTGCTATTAAGTCTCTTTTCTCTTGCAATATAAATACAATATTAGGTCAATGTCAGGAAAATATAAACTTTTTTGTATGAGGCTGAGAAACTGGGGAAGGGCGAGGTTCTACTGAACCCTTCCCCAGTTTTGCGCCGAGTACAAAAAAGTTTATATTTTTATGACATTGACCTTATATTGTTTTTATACTGAAACTTGAATTAATACCTGTATAGCTTTTTAAATCGTTACACAAATGTCAAACTTATTTTAATCCCTTAATGAATCCCTGATTGTGGAGAAAGTGTTCCATGATGAAATTGACATTATACAAAATATAGCTTTGTTACTATATTTAGGAAATACACACAACTAGTTGCAGTATAAAATTATTGATGTGTATGAGTTCATCAATGTACTTGTTAATATTTGAATTATTTGCATCTTTGATCAGCATAGGCTTCACAAAATAACAAATATTTTCGTAATTATACACTAGCAACTGGCTCAGTTGTGTGTGTAAAAAGTAAAATCACAAAAATTCTGAACCCTGAGGAAAAATCAAAACGGAAAGTCTATAATCAACTTGTGTGAGTGGTGAGAAAAAAAAAGCAACATTAAATCACATTCGAAATGAAAGTTAGAATATCCTTTTTTATTTTAAATGTTTGCATGTTAAATACTTTTGTTACCTTTTGAAAGAATAATGCCAAAAACCATTCAGTCATGAAAGCTACTGTCTCTGAACTTGCTCAATATTAAATGGAAAAATTATGTTACTAAATTCATTATTTCATGGATGAATTAAATGTAATTTTTGTTGTTGAGATTTAAAGAGTACGTAGTTACTTTTATATCATTATTTTCTATGATGACAACGTTCAGAGACACAATTTGAGTTGTACTTTCATTTGAAGCCTTCACTACAGTTAGAGAGGATATTTGAATAGGAAGAAACGGTAGGTAGAAATTAAAGCCGAGTTCAAAATGGACAAAAACACGAAAGAGATTTTATTTTTCAGGAACATAATTATTTTCAAGGTCGTGGATTATTTAAAACTGTCTTCTTGGGCATAAGTCGCTTTTTGTATACACTAACTATATTTAGATATAAGTACTTAAACCTTAACGAATCTGGTATACAAAAATGTAGAATCACAAGGGATGCTTAGGCGAAAAACGATAAAGATAATAAACGATAATAACCCTTTATCAACCCTTTATTCTGTATTTTGCATAACATAAGTCTAACATGACAACATAGGGACATCAACAGAAACGTATATGCACTAACTTATCTAGAGTAAAAATGCATTACATGTGTGTCAATCATCACAAATGTACATATGCTAATTTTATATAACCTAAATTCGCTTACTTTCAAAACCATTAAACAATCATGATCATCGTCAAATGCAATTAACATTATTTCTAGAAGAATTTAATTTTACTTTTTAATAATTAAAAGAGACCAATAATCCCCTCCTACTTTTAACGTGTTTACCATATTATCTGAGACATGTCACTTTAAAGAACTACGTGTAGGGTATCAGAAATGCTGTATCATTAAAACCAATTTAGGCAACCTTTTTACAACTATGTTATGTAAAACCGTAACAGCAAAGTTTTATAGGTTTTACCAACCTGAAAATAAACCACGTACTGATTGATACATTTTAACTTTCTCAGTCCTGTCACTAATGTTTTTGCTCGCTGAGAATTGCAAAGGTTTAGTGCTAGTTTTAAAAGTATGAAACTCATTCATTTCTGCATATCCCAAAAGTTCATTTGCTCTATCCTTCTGTTTAATGTATTCATCAGCATAACTATCGGGAATAGATTGCAAAAAAGCCGCATGTATCGCCTCCATTTCTGTCTGATCAGTATGAACAAAATGTATTTCTTTAATACTTGATTTCGTGCCAGCTTCTTTGCTATATTTCATAACGCTATCTGGGTATGTTTTTACTATATCTGTATTACAAGCTGTATGGAATCCTACAATTTAAAAACAAAATAAGTGCAACTTGAAAAATCTCTGAGTTTTCCCAAAGCTATCAAACTAAAATTAAAATAACTTATGATGATAAGAAACTAAGCCAATATGAATACTAGAAAATCAAATGTATAAAATCAAGTCAACATATTTTTTTGTTATTATATAATGATATGAAAAAGCATAGATCATATTAGAAATGAAATGATATTAAAAAGTTCTGTACAATACTTTTATCATCAACAATTAGGAATGTTCATGTTGATGTATCGGATCATAATATAATACATGTTTATTTTATTCAAAGTTTCATTTTGTGCACATAGTTTGTGGTAGCAATAAGAACAGGTTATTGGAATTTTTTTTAACACATTTTTATTCCATAAACTAATCGTTTTTGTTAAGCCTTTTGTAAACAAATCTATAGCTGTTGGATTAATAGATTGTGTTCTAAATTTAACATAATATGCTAACATAAATAAGGTACTTTGCTGAATTAGTTAAACTTATCATTATGGAAGGCCTTATGGTCATGTGTAGTTGTTAACATCTATGTCATTTTGATCTGATTGACAATTATATCACACGTACATCTCCTAAATTCTATTACATTTAAATACGCATAGTTTCAACTAAAAATGTCATGTATAATGCTCTTACAAATTACAATATAGGTTTTAATTGGTTATGACAAGAAGGTGCCCTTTATTCCTTTAACTTACCTAGTGTGATAAAGGGTGGGAGAGCTATTGAGTTAATATTATCCATGTTGGCTTGTGTCAAACAAATCCTTATTGTTTCCGAAATATTTTTTGTAAGTGCAGCAATTGTCGAATTTTCATTCTGGGCAGGAACCTTTACGTGAAGTATTTTCTTGTAGTGGGTCAAATTTCCAGCAGTCGTAATGTATAAACATCGTCCACATATTCCATGCCTTTCGAAGTACATTGAACATTGTGTTTTCATTTGTTCTCCGGCTCTTGCAACAATGTTCGTTAAACCATCGGTTTCATTCATTCTGCTACTGTATGGATTTACTATGCAGTCTACATTACTTAGATAACATATATCCGCCTTATACACAAATACTTTAACTTCTTCTTTTGTAATCATGACTATCGAGTCTTGTGTTGGTCTGTAAATGATTGGTGACCGTTTTGTTTTCACTGGAGGAATGTTTACCATTTTTTCATTAATGCATAATGTGGCAGGCGTCGAAAAAGTGTTCGATGAATATGCCGTGCCTTGTCTTTTATTTAACGAATTAGCACTCATATCTTCCTTTGCGTTCATAATACGCTGCAGATATTGTATATAACCTTAAAAAAACAAAGTCATAATCTAAAGTAAAAAAAGTGCTACAAATAACAACGTATTCGATTCATATCTTCTTGGCATGTTCTTTTAATCACATTTAGACAGGAGTAGAGTTCGTCCTACCAAGGAGTTACAAAAAATTACATTAGAAACATAGCAAGTGTAGGAAAATAGGCAATGTATGTCTGTAACACAGCTTGCTGTAGACCAAGCATAGCAAGTATCTTCTTATTCGATTTATTGAATCACCTGAAATCTACCAATTGTTTGGGTTTTTTTTAAATCTATATGATATATATTATACCTTTCGGATATTTGCTGTCATGTTTGTGACTTGCTTCTAGCTGGGCTAGTCTGTCAGTTCGGATACCCTGAAACAAAGCATATTCCCTCCGTTAATACCACTAGTAGAATTATTTTACCACTTTTTTGCAATTGTGTTTTCAAATGATAATTCATCAATCGGACAAACAATGTTAAACCACGAAACGAAACAAATGAGAGAAAAAAACACCGAATAGTATCTTTCTTATCTATAAGGATATATTCTGAGTATGTAAAAAGTCAATATTTTTAGGCACTTTAGTTGAACATTAAAAAGTAGCAAAGTGATATCAACAAAAATGATGTTAAAAAAAATCGTGTTTCTTAGTTATTTCTTTATACTATTGAATGACTTGCATCTTTTCATTGGGGTACATGTATCAAACTCATTGAATTAAATGCAACTATTTCGATGAATTTTCAATTATTCTGTATAAAAATATTCCTTATTTTTGTTTTCAATTGTAAATGAAACTGGAAATCACTTTCATTTTTCAATAATTTTAATGGTTAATGTGATGCATGAACAAGAATGAAGGAATAAATCTTTGGAATTTTTTTTAAAGAAATTACTCTATACTATAATAAATAAGCATCCGGCAGTATACATCCTATCAATACCTCGTTCGTTTTTCCATTCGTATTCAATGCGTCTTCAATCTGTTTAAAGGTGTCTTGTATCAGCTCATCATTTGGTCCAATTACTTGCACAGTGCATGTTGTAAAATCAGGACAAGCCATAACAGAATCAACAAACATTTTACACGCTGAATCTAAAAGTATACTATACATGATTATCTCTCTGAGAAAATAACAAAACATCAATTTGTTCTCTACGTTATTAGTTACAGAGTGTTTGTAGTTCCTAGTACGATATTCGAGGTCATTAAGAAAAAACCATCGAAACACTTCCGTCAAAACTTTGTTTTAAATGAACATCATTCGTGCGATTAGGGGAATTGTCACTTGTTCCCATGCTGAGCGAGCTGTTGAAAAAATATGATGCTATATTGTACCAATTATTCGTCAATTAAAAATCTTACATTCTATAATTAGTACTGCTGCCATTTGGGAAATGTGATTAAATAGCAACGACTCAAACATTAATTCAAGTTTATACATCATAATAACGATCACGAAGATGCTTGAAGAACTTTAATATTGACGGGATACAGTCGATTCTCTCTATCTGGACAATTGCTATATAAATGCTCACACAATTGCCTTAGCGATACTGAATGTAGCACAGTGGATACACCTGATAATCGACAAAAAAGACGAAAGAGACCTTGATAATGTATTTTTTTAGTCTTTTAGCTGGTCATATCAAAATGACAGTTTCATTTCGAAATGATTTGTTAAGTATAGACAGTAGTGTCTTATTTACTTACTAATAAAATATCGTCGAAACTTTTCTTGAATTCTTTATTTCTTTAAATTTTTTATTGAATTTTGAGCAAAACAGCGTAAACAATCTGCAGGTGATTAGCTATATATCATAATATCTCACCTGTTTTCTTTCTGTTTTTTTCTACTGCTTCAAATACCTATCACACAAAATAGGAAATGAAAATGATAAAAATACTGACATATACAAAATTATCAGGTACAAATATGTTCGTCTCATTGCATATGATACGTAGCAAGAATAAACATTCTACATGTATTAAAATGTTGACATTACGCAAAAAAGAGACTGCTTGTTGCAAGTATGCTCATCACTTGCTTTCAGAAAATAGTCTCTGACGAAATTTGTGGTATATGCTCACAAGGAAAAACTGTTCTCAAAACAGTAATTTTCCCCTGATATAATCCTTCGAGATCATATGAAATGACGTTAGATGTAAAATAAAGCATTGCATATTTCAAAAAGATATTTTGTATTAAAAGAGAGGCGAACGATACCAGAGGGACATTCAAATTCATAATTACGAAAATAAACTGACAGCAGCATAGCTAAAATGGAAAAAGACCAATAGACAAACAATTGCATAGAAAACTAGAAACTGAGCAACACGAACCCCATTCAAACCTGGGGTGATATCAGGTGCTCCGGTAGGGTAAGCAAATCCTGCCCCGCACATGGCAACCGTCGTGTTGCTCCTGTTAGTACATGTTTTTATGAAAATATGATCACTTGTTGTATCAGGCATATTTTTTCTATTCCACAATATGTCTAGGCCATATGATACTCCTTTATGTATATCTGAGTTATTTCCAGTTGGTGGAATGAAAACCACCTTCCAGAAGTATTTAACCTGCTCGAATGGTCTGATTGATCTATCTTATGAAGCAAAGTTTGAATCTGCATAATGCCATCTCCCTTGACAAACTAAATACATTGAATTTGTAAACAAAGGACACGAACTTGACAATTCTGTCCAAGTACGATTTGTCTCCGATAAACTGGAAATCAATGTTTAGTGGCGTGTATACTTTGCCAAATTGAAACATTTTATGTATAAGGTACTTCAAGGGATCAACAAAATTTGAAATGCTAGCTAATCCCAGTCGTTGTAACAATTAAAGCAAGTCAACATTATTAAAATATAGACATCATTATCATGCATTTGTAACTTATTGATAGATACAAAGGAAATACTTGGTTACAAATCAAATTTAAACAAATGCAAATTAACAGTTATTATCTCGAATAATTATGACAAGGTTTTAGACAAATATTGAGGAAACTACGAACACATAAAGTAGCCAGATCAGATTTGAAATACTATTCATCCTATATTGATAGTCCGTTCACTAAATAGTTCATTTTGACAACTACTTTGAACGCATAAATACCGTGACACTTGAAATAAAGGACATCAGAGATGCAGTTATGTCTGCCATGTATGAACGTAGAATTGACACGTCATACCATCCATATTTTAATATTATTAATCTCGTACACAATATTTCGTCTCAAAGAAGATTGTATGCACTTTCCAGATCTAAATCAAAATTTGTATTATAAATCTCGAACATAAGTACATGTATAATTTGGAGAGTGTTTCACCAAAGCAAAACTTATGACTCTACTTCATATCGCAACTTTGACACTGCTTGTTTTAAAATAGAAAAAAAACTAATCTTAGACTAGTGAAAAATACCATTTCTAAAACAAGCCATTATCAAAATTATAGTCTAAAAAGCTACATACCTGTAATACGCTTGTATCAGCTGGAAATATGACAAAGTTTATTTCAGTAAGAGCTCCTACGTTGTAATCAGATGCAAATTTGTCCACTACCAGAAACATCGAAGAGGCGACAATGTTTGGTGGATAACTGAGGTTTCCTGTTCCAAGAGCAGGAAATGCAATGCTTTTCATGTTTAAGTCTACTGCTGTGTTCAGGCAATTCTTGATGAAATATTCAAACTGCTGAAGTTTAAAATTAAACGATCAACTATGAGAGTTGTTTATTATTCATAAATGTGTTTTATGTCGAGAAACACTAGGAGCTGGTATAATATAGCAAATGCTGAATAGACGGAAAACGATTATCTTTAACTCATGTGTTTGTCATTTGTTCTCTGATGGAGAGTTGTGTCATTGGAATATCACATCTTCTTATTTGTTTTTCTATGTAAGCATTCGATAGATAAATGAAATCGTCCCAGACAAAGGAATCGCTATTCACATCTCATAAATCGACTAAGAATGGCTAAATAAAGGTTTAAAACAAATATTGAGGACACTAGGGCCTATAAAGAAGCAAGATCAGATTTGTAATAAATGTAAGAGTCTCCTGATACATGTGATATGTATTCACCACCTTCCGAGTCAAAAGTCCCCAATCGGCATAAGGAAACCTTCTGTTTAGTGACTAGTGACTCTAGATTTACGACCACTCACACATGATACGTGTGAGTCGAGATACCGACATATTTATCAGTCAACCAATCCGTGATTGTGACCGTAAAACGTATGTAGTACATGTCGATTTTTGTCGTTCTTCGTCAGAACTCTGCTAGAGCATTTTTGTTTAAGGATTACGCCCTTGTTAGGAATGTCGTCATAGTTGTTTTCATGTACAAGCTCAACGGACTTACTGAAATATGTAAATATAAACGTTTGAGCAGAGGTGATGGGAAGATGACAATTGAACAGTTTAAACCGCCACGTTTGTCATAGATTTTAGTTCGAAATCGTCCATCTTAGTCTACTTCGAGGAACAATCCAACCTTTATGAAGCAGAACTTTTACATGTTCTGCTTTTGATAGTTTCTCTACGATCAAGTTAAAGTATTATATGAGATGTGAGCTATCATGTAGGTGTGGTTTAGTTAGTTACAGGAATTCTCATAAAGTAAAATAAGAAAAATACCTGACAATTGAAAGCAAAAAGAACCTTATTGTTTTGAATTATCAAATGGCAAAATTAAAAGCTGAAATTCAACATTAACAAATGGAAACAATTGTCATCATTCTGACTTGGCACAGGCATTCCCTGATGTAAAAAGAAAATAGGGAACATTTCACTTGTATAAAAGTCGCATTAAAATTTCATTTTATTGACAACAATGTGTGAACAAAAACAAAATAAAAATGTCAAACTTTGGGGAATAGCTGTCAACATGTTATTATAATCACTGTCTGGAAGTAAAATTGAAGAACTTTTTAAGATACATTTGTAGTTTGTCTCTGAGAAGGATCTGAATCAATTCTGTTTAATATGAGTAGAAACAAATCGTCCAGTAGTGGTACATAATTTACTCGCTTGAGTACCATTTTTTGATTGAAATATAAATCCACCAAACTTAACAAATAAGATGTCTATAAAAAAATCCAGCATTTTGATAATATCATTTTTGAAGTTGTTTTTCAGAAAGTATTGTTATTCAATGCCCAAGAAATAAATATCTACGTTTCCAATTTTTGTAGATCAGAACTGTTTAATGAGACAATATTGTCGATATTTCAATTCATTATGGAGATTAGTAGTGTTAAGTAAAAGAAAGGTTATGATTTTAAAACAAAAATGTAAAGATCTTGATTGATGTTTTTTTGAATAGAACTGTAAAGTGTTCGCGTTCTTGAGAAAGATAAATCCCAAAAGTTGTATCTTTGAAGAAATAATTTAATGTAAAGCTACACATATATTCTATGTAAACTACTATTAATGGTGATCCCATGCAAACCCTTATTGGCGAATGCTATGTTCACTCACTACAAATAACAAAAAGGTGACTTAACTATTAAACTAAAATATACAGATTACAAAAAACTAATGTTTAAAGACATGTGTGTAGTACCTGAATACTGCTCTCTGATTTATATCTTGGAAGAACCCCATGAAAGATGTTTTTGGCTGATAAATTGTATCCTTTTGTTACAACTACCGCAGGGAACTGTATCTGTCTACCTTTTATGGTCCTGTCGCAATCATGCTGTAGTTCAACGCCAGCAGTTTTGAGTAATGCCTTAGAAACCATTCCTCGTGATAAATCAAATTCACGATTAGTAGCATTCACAAGCACGTCACACTGTTTGTAGAATATAATGAAGACATATTTTTAATCTTTAAATAATGAACTAAAATGACTCATTACTTACATGCAAAGTAGTTCGACAACAGGGGATCAAAATTATTTGTTTTCATTAACTTTTTTTATAAAAATGTTTGTATCCATTTTCATTTCTTGATAATTATCGTGGAAGTACAAACAGTTTTAAAAACAGAAATTAATTCAGCCGGTTTTTTTATTTCCTTTATGTTTTTAACTTCTATCTTGTTTTAATCTTTATTACCGTTACAAGATTATAGTGCACTAATGGTTTGTGTGATATTGTTTAGCAATTGTTTGTTTGTCAGATTTGTTTGGCAGTTTACACAACCAATTTTGAATATTGTAAAATAATTCATTCAACCCCTACAATTCTCTTTTCGGTACTTTAGTATATTTAATTGGAAAAATAATAAAATGAAAACAATATGTTTTTAGAATGTTGTTATCATAAAAATTTAACAAACTTATACTGCAAGACAGAATCTTTATACATGTATAGACCGTGTATATACATTGTAATTCCGACGTAATGCGACCCCTAATGAGAGGAAGCTGATAAAAGGTACATGTATGGCTTTCTTAAAAGAATGCATAAAAAATTTTGTACATCGCATTTGATACTTCGATGATAACTGAAAGTAAAATCACGAATATGCTAGAAGTTTATCAGAATCAAAAACACTCATGATCATGTTTTGTTCGTGTACTATTCGAAAGAGAGGCGAACAACAGTACAACATTGCGCTGCAATGTAAATAACTGACAAACAAATCCGCGTGTCACTTCAACATGCAGTGATATTTCATGGGAATTTGAAATGAAAATACAACACTTCAAGCAATATTATTTTAATAAAACCATGTGTTCATCATGTTTACAGTTCAAAAAGAAAAACTTCGATGAATGCCATCCAGCCATAACTCGTTGTTATTGTAAGCAAAATAACCTATGTTAAACGAAAAAAACCTATTTATATTAACAGAGAGCTCGAGCTCATCATTCACGAAAGTACATGTAATAAGTTTCTATTTCAAAATCATATGACGTAGAACAGACGACACCAAGACAAAAAATACGAAAGAGAACAACTAAAGATTGCGCAACATAATACCCACAACAACAAGGAACTATCTTATGTATTGCAGATGGCTAACTAACACATGTTTTGGTGGTACAAATCGTGTTTTCTCTTTATCAAATGTGAAGTCAAAGTCGGGTTTAAGTCATTATAACAAAGTGAATTTGTAGATGTCGCCACTTTAAACAACTTGACCCAAACTAAACAAATCTTGATGCATCTAAATGCTCCTTAAATCTAGTTTTCCGTGAATAAGGTCTATTTTAGGTCCCTTATCTTGATGAGCATATCACAGTGATAGATTATTTCAACCTTCGTTCATTTGTTTATAAAACAAAACAAACTTACCTTCATTAAAGCCAATTCGCCTTTCACTACATTAATCTGCAATTTTTGCTTCGAAGATTCTGAAATAAGATGAAATAGATGAGGAAGTGTTTGGAGTTTCGTTAGCCACAAGACCAGGTTCAACGCATTTATTTAGTCGTAATATGCCTGTATTATGTCAGAGATATGAAAGATAGTTTCTGGTAGTTTCAGTGTTTGATATAATAGAGAGTTAGAGTTTGCCAGTGTTAATCGACTTGCCCCTTTTCAATTTACTGTTCTATAATTTTGTAAGTACACTTTGTTCCAGTAAAAGATAATATTGCTGTGCATAGCATGTTACATTTTAACCAACTCGGTATATTTTCACTGACATTGTTAATGGAGAATGTGTCAAGTAGACAAGAACCCGAACAAAGAGCAGATACAAGACTCTTCCTTTAAATAATATTTCATTTAGAATAGTTTTTTTTGTGAATAAAAGACAGTGAAATAAAAATAAATAAACAAATTTTCAAAAACACATTAGAATGTTAGAATACATGTATTATTTGCTATATATCTTAATAATAACAGTATACCTTTTTTCAGCTGACACCATTCGGTGATTATGTCGGAACTTGGTTCAAATATGTCGTCTGATGGTGCAAAGAACTGAAAATATGTTGGTCTGCTACAATCTAAAGATAACAAAATAGCTCCTAGAAATTGAACGACAGGCCATCTAACTTTTTCAACTTCAGACAAATCGAACGACATAACAGTCAGTCCTTGAAGGTTTGTTGATTTGAAATAGTCTTTCATTTCTATTATCAGTTTATGCAGGTTATCATTTTCTTTTGCTATCTTCCAGATAGGTAGGTATATAGTAGCATGGTCATGTTGAAATGCATTTACCATACATTTGATAGTGGATGTATCACCACCTTGACAAGTAAAAGAGTAGATAAAGATACATTAGGCAAACTGTAAATATAATATAAATTATATTAATAGTAAATATATAAAATATTTATGGTATTTTGTTAATTTGAAATAATCAAAGTTAGTTTAGAGAACAAGAGTCTTCCAGCAACCCAAATCGCTAACCTATGAATCATAGCAGAAACTTGAGAAACAATGTCATTTGCTAGAAACCCTTAATTTTGCCACATTAAATGGTTGAAATAAAATATTCAAACCAAAACAAATAATTATAAAACATGTAGAATGCATTTCAGATGCAATTACTCTTCAAAAGGTAAACTCAAAAGCTAAAATAAATTAAAAAAAAAACCAACAACTGTTATATTCCTGACTTAGTACAGAAATTACCTTATTTATAAAATGATGGATTAAACCTTTCAAATATAAAGGGTTGTCCAAATTAATAACAATTTCCAGGTATGATAGATCATGGTTTGCTTATGATAGTTCAATTCATAAGTATCAGATTAATAATATTAATATTAATATGTTGATTTGTTCTAAAAAATTGAAAACAACACGTTTAATAATTTCAAATCGTCCGAAGCGCTTTTCTGGATTTACCTTCATCAGGAACGCTCAAAGCCAAATATTTGAAATCCGAGGATGTATAAGTAACGAAACCGTTGAACAGCTATTTGACAAAAATACTTAACATTGATAGCCAAATTCATCTAAAGTCAACTTTGCCTGAGGGAGTTAAAACCTTAGTTTCTTAATAATTTCCAAATTTATAAACGGACAATCTTAGAAAAATTTGTTAAATCATGTCAGTACCGAAGTACTGACTACTGAGCTGATGATACCCTCGGGGACTGATCAGTATCATTTTGCTTTTAGCTAGTATTGCTTTCGTGATAACTGCAAACAATAGAACCGCAACATATTTACATCTAATCGGTTATAATATATTGTCCAATGTATATGACAGAGCCAACATGGATCTTCCAGTTTGTCTGTTGTTTTCAAGGTAGATATTTTTGATTTGATTATTCTTATTCAGAATCTAAATTTATAGATACTATATATCAAGCTCATTAATACTGCAAATTATTTGGTCGTTTACCAACTATAATATTCGGAATTATAAATACAAATAAAGCAGGTAGAGCCATTAATATTCGGAATTATAACTGCAAATAAAGCAGGTAGAGCCATAATTAAAAAAAAAAACAAATGGTGTAATTTCTCAATCTTTTCAAAATTCAGTATTCTATAAAGATAAAGGAATACGGCGATATAATCTGATCTAGAAAATTTCCTTTAAAAAAGTCAAATGCGATGTCATATTGAAATTGACCTCTTTGACCAAACAATACAAAAGAACACAAAGAAGTAAAAAAGTTATGAATCACAGCTGTACAAGAAACAATAATATGCCTAATTAACATCGGTGTATAGGATATATTGTAGAAAAATATACAATGTATAAGCCTTGGTTCACAGCCATATAGTTATGACAAGATCTCAAGTTGTTTCCGTTTTGCAGCATTGAATATCAAGAAAGTTGAAAGACTTCGCGCAAATAAGTAAGATATGATTCAAAAATATAAATAACTATACATTACTGATCAATATTTTTTAACATCTTAATAGTGTTTTGATAGATTTATGAAACTTGTGATTTTCATATCATAGCCAAAATAATGATCAATACAAATCTTTGATTATGATAAACATTTCAAGGGACACTCTAATTTCATATTATTTTAATAGACTTTAAACTCCATATCACCTATACATTAAGTTCTTAGTTTTGTTCAGACCGCTGATAGCGACGACGCCTTTTGATTGGAGACTAGAGGCTCTCCTAATAAAGCCTGTGTCGCTCATTTTGGTCTCTATGAATATTCAACTGAATATACTCCCCAACAGGTTGACGAGAGTGGAATTAATGACAAAAATTTCTGTTTTGTTTTGTATCTGATATTTCATTAACTGTAATAGGGAGTCAAGTGATGATATCACCCAATAATGGTTTTTCTGACCCTTTTTGCAAATTTAAAGTTTCTCTCTATCTATTATAGTTTTCGAGATTAAAGACAAAAAACGAAAAATAGTGGTAACATTTGTTATTTAGGGCCATAACTCCTACAGGGAAAAGTCTGACAGTTTTGATTTATATGAATAATTGATAGCATTCAATATTTTAAACAAGTTGACCGCTTTCAGATTTCTTCTCTGTATAGCAGTTATCAGAATAAAAGACAAAACTTGCATTTTATCCCATATGTTGTATTTTCTACCATGTAGATTATTTTTCTTGGCATACGGGATATTTGGACACATTTTTAAATCTATATACCCTAATCATGCTAATGATGATTGCGGCATAGTTTGATTCTATTTGGCATAATAGTTTCAGAGGAGAAAATATTTGTAAAAGATATGCCAAATTTACGAAAAATTGTAAAACATTGACTATAAAGGACAATAAATCCTTAAGGGGTCAATTGAAAATTTTGGTCATGTTAACTTATTTGTAGATTTTACGTTGCTGAGCATTAATGCTGCCTACAGTTTATCTATAACATGTATAATTATATTCAAGATAATTTCCCAAAACTGCAAAATTACATTTAAATTGCCAATTCAGGGGCAGCAACTAAACAACGAAATGTTTGATTCGTCTGAAAATATCAGAGCAGATGGAACTTCACCTGATTAATATTTTTACCATTTGTTCGATTTGCTCTTAATGCATGAGTTTTAGATACAAGCAATAAACTTCATTTTACCCCTATGTTGTATTTTTAGCCATGTCTGTCATTTTGCTTAGTTGGTGGGATCATCGAACATAATTTTTTTTAAATTATGATACCTCAATGATTATTTTGCCCTGTATTTTCAGAGGAGAAGATTTTTGTAAAAGTTAACGGACGACGACGGACGTCAAGTGATGAAAAAACCTCACTTGGCCCATGCGGCCAAGTGAGCTAAAAAAAGTTATGTTATTTTATATTTACTAACCAGCATTATGTTCAACATTCAGAAACAACGTATTCTGTCCTAGCCAATAGTTTTTTTGCAGACTGCAATTGTAAAGTCTGACAGTGAGACCATCATCTACTGTTATACTACGACATCTTATATGTTTTCTTAGGTCAACTGGTATTGTGCGTAATTCGGATGACGTTACTTTGGCTGATGAAAGAGAAACACAACACCTGCAGCTATTCGCGATGTTCGTCACCCTGAATTGCAAATCTGTTACTTTATCCTCAATAATGTACGTCTTGTCTTGACCAGGCATTTGTAGTAGATTCAAGAGTTCTTGATAAGCAGCTTCCACCGCTGAATCTTCTCCTTTAACAGTCCATTTACATAATGGCTCGTCTTGTTCATATACGTTTACTGAATATTGATTCTCAATGGAGGATTTGTGGTTACTCAGTAGCTTTTTCATGGTTTCCAGTTTTTGTTTTGGAACTAAAAGTCTCTTCGATGTATACATATATTCAATTTGAGTTGGATTGAACCAGTAATCATCCGTTCGTGATACATTCACTGTTGAAAAGTCTGTGCTCAGTTTGATTAACAGTTTTCCATTTCCCTTCTCTTCTAAATTGGCTATTTTCTGTTTAGCGTTCTCGCTACTAATAAAACGAGACGGCACAGCGATGATGTCTTCTTTGAACGCACCTTTGATCACTCCGTCTGCTACTTTAAGTTTTGATTGGTTTTCCGCATATAATGTCAGAGTATTTTGGCTGTTTTTAAACCATACACATTTATGTTTCCGTAATCTAAATATAAGAAATGCATGCACAGTTTCCCTTTGAATCAACTGATATAGACAATCACTGAATAAATACCTCTTGCAGGACACAGCAAGGCTACCAGTTGTAATTGTACTCTTTAAATCATTCTCAATTAACAGTTTTGTACTAGAATCAGGAACACATATCTTTAATCCGAAATGATGATGACTAATGGCAACATTGTCTTTCTTGAAACAATCTAAATTCAATAAGTCATAAATCCACACAATTGCTTGGTCCTCTTCTGATAGTTGGACGAAAACCCGTGTTTCTTCCCTTTCTCTAGAAATATTTAATCCGTCAAGTTTTGCATAAGTACTCGTTGTTATACTACAACGATGAAGTTTGTCTTTCAAACCTTTAATAACTTCTTCTAAAACCAGCTTATTGTCCTACAACCCACACTGAATGTTTGCAATACTTGTTGATATAAATTCACAGTTTATGCTGTGTAAATTGTCTAGATATAGCGTCTGTCTCCTCTTGTGTAATTGAAACTTCGTGTATTGATCTGATTTCTAAATTTTGTTTTTCTATCAATTCAACAAATGCTTTTTTAATAATCGTATGCACATCCAGAGTCTTTCTTACATCAATATCGAAACTAATGGCCACAGGATCAGAAGTTTCATAGTCGCTTGAAATACTGATATTTTTATTATGCAAATCCTTTTCAATAGTTTCTCCAAAATTCACCCAAACGTGTTTCCACAGACATTTTGATTGCTGGTCATTACAGAGATCAAGGACATGTACGGCAATTCTTACTGACATGTTTTCTGAAAATTATAAATATAATTAAAGAATAAACTACTGTACTTAAAATATGAAATACTACTTTATCTTTGATAAAGCAATATGATGCCATTTTTTTTGACATATTCAATGAAATAAATGACAATTTTTGTAATCAAACTTCAAACATCGACATTTGTTTTACTAGTTTTATGATGATTTCTAGCCGAAACCATAGTAATTAAATCTTAAAATCTATCAATTGTATCATGTTTACTATTCTTATGGTTTGTGCCTGAATGTAAATATGCATAGCGGATAATGAGATTATCAAATAGATGTAGAAGAAGCTAAGATACTTTTATAGCTCAAGGCAACAATGCTTTTGATTTCTAGTCATCAATGTCCTGTACAAAGTCAGGAATTTGTCAGCTGTTATCAAATAATATGTTTCTATGTATTCTGGCGTTTATTTCTTTTTGTTGAAGGTCAGTGTTTCTATTGTTACGGTGTTTTTTACTTATAGTAGATTTGTTTCCCTCGGTTTTGGTATGTAACCCGGATTTGTTTTCGATTTCATTTCATATAAATAAATAACAACATTCAATCAATTCTATATAACAATAATAATGTCTTCTGTTTCGGGTTAAACAAAAATTGACGTTGTGAACAAATTCCATTTACGAGAATCAAATGATTTCTCCTTTGTTAAGTATATATGTAATTCATTCAAAGAAATCCTTTATCTGCATTCATAAAATCAATGGATGTCATTTATAAGATTTTTTTTTTGTATTTTAAAACTACATCATGTACATAGAAGTATCACGAATATATGTTTTAACGTTAGTTCATGGATGGGTACCATTATTTGGTTTGCTCTAACAATATTTGTATAGGTTTCATGTCACATATGCTGAAACAGCACTACTTTGTCGTAAATTCAACAAAACTTACTTTTCTTTTAGCTTTTTTAAAGTGTACATGCACTATTCTTTCATATTGTTTCATATGCCTGTCAAAATCCAAATTGTTTAAATAACCGCTAAACTTTGGTTTTAATTTTTTGTAGCTTTACTTGATTCATCATTACGATCTTGTAAGCATATATTATCACTCTTGATTGAACAACTTAAATTTGATATGTCAAACATGCAAATCAAGAATTCAACCTTCCAATACGACAACAATGGCCATAATTCTAACTCAAATACAGTCATATTGATATCAATATATCAATAAAAATCAAACCTCGAATCTTTTCATTAGAGAAAGGTCCTCAGACATACCCAGGATAACAGAAATTATACCTAACATATATGGATGTTTTAAGCGATATAATACAATGTAGATAAATAAATCACGATATTTACATTGAAAGGATTTAAATTTAGAAAATCAATATTTGTAATAATGGAGTGTTAATCAGGTCAGGTCAAGGACATATTCGTTTCATCACAGAACGAAAGCATTATTTTCAATCATTTCATACAAATTATTATTCGTTAAATATGATAATTCATAAATCATTATCATTGTTGGTTTGTCGAATGTGATATAAATTGTCTGTGACTTCTATTGCTGACTAATTTGAAATAACTCGATAAAAAGAAGATGTAAGTAGTTAATGAAATTATTATCAAAAATAAATGAATAGAACTGTTCTTATTTTTCAATCAAGTTCAGTAATATAATAATTGCTAACATTTGATTTAATGCACAATTGACAAAGTTATCGATCCATTATTAGTTTTTTATTTGTAATTTAGGTGAGTGTGCTTTTGTTTGTTTATATGGTTTTGGTGGAGTAATCGTGATTCTTAATAAAAAAAAATTTAAATCTGCAAACAATAAATGTTAAAAATATTTACATTATTGACCGCTTACCTTGACTACGAACACAGAAATGATAACGAAGGTAGAAACAACTACGAGCATGCGTATCTAAATGTCTAAATGGGTATTTCTATAGTATTTCAAAGTACTGCGTTTTAAGTGTACATGCATTTAGTTTTGTCTACTTATACTGGATATTGATCACTCTCGTAGTGTTTTGTTAAATATGTTATTTTAATGTGACAATATAATAACACATCATTTTATTTTATTTAATATTAATTGTACCTTTTTTATTGTGTTTTGTGTCTTGGTCAGCTATTCTACGTCGTTTTTACATTCTCCCTTCTTATGAATACCTCCCAATATTCTTTATGATAGTAATGTTATTGTAGTAATTTTTATATTTAACTAGTTGTGTTTATAGATACAAATACTTGATTTTTTGATATTGTTGCTGTCATTAACCTTCATAAACGTCAACACACATTTGACGTTCTAATATAGATACTGTTTTCATTTCACTGTAACTAAATACTGCTATAAAGCTTGAACAGTGATTCAAAATGTGAATGTTAGCAATCCATGATTAAATTTTGAATACCGTCCTGATTGGAAAGTACCTTTTGTGCCTTTGTCGTAAGGTAATAAAGGAAAATGTTGTGTGTTGGATGTATCGAATAGAAACGAATATATAACGGGAAACATAAGAAAAGTGAGTATTTTAAAGGATTTTGTCGAAAGACAAGAAAACAATGGCAAAATGTAATTTACTTTGAAATAATAAGTTTAAAGGTGAATCCTTGTATGCAGACACAGCATAAACAGAATCTAATCTGATTATGTTTGTATTTTATTTTGTTTACGAAGAATTTCACTTATTTCATATAGCATTGGAAAGACAGATAAACAATATTGTTTTGTTATTATTATTATTATTATTCCGGCATGTGTGGTGTTATTTAAGATATTGTTGTTAAAATAAAGTCAATATAACTGCATTTATCAAAGAACTTAATATTCTGCTTTAATATGTTGAGATTCAACTGATACGATATTCAAGATGTTGCATTTCCAATCATTATTTTCTAAGATTCCAAGTGTAGAAGTGATGACTTCTAAAATGTTACGAACGTTATTATGAGTTTGTTGAACGTTATGGAATATATGTTTTCTATACGACGATAGATGTGTACCCATTGATACGAAAGCTTTATTAGATTCAGTATAGTTATAAATAACAAAATAAAGACTCAAGAGAGTTTTTATACGAATACATGTACAAGCAAATATATACAACAACATTAAACACAATAATACAAACAAACTAATATAGAGAAAGTACACAAAAAAGATAGCAAACAGAGAACGAGCAAAGCAAATAGTATAGTAGTAAAGCTATATAAGAGAACAGTAATATTAAAATAAGCACATTGAAATCAGGTAATTGTTTATATACATGCAGAAACGCAACAGTTCAAAATTAGGAAGCTGAATTTTTTTCTTTTGTCAGAAAAAATTGTTTTCAACCGACCCTATAAACGAGTTTGTAGATCTAAGTCGAGGTATAAGGCAGACTTAACAGTATCTATTGTATCGTTTATCTCAATTTCGACGGGATAGGTGTGTTAAACGAAGTCACCAAATTTTGAATTATTAAATGAGAGAACCTTATCTATATACCGGAAAGTAAAGTTAATGGATAATGATAACTTGTTTTTGTATCTTACTAAGAAGTTCTTGCATGAAGTCAGTCTTACATGAAAAGAAGGAGCAGGTCGGCAAGTAGAGTTTGTTCCCATGATAATGCCGATTGTTCGTTGAAAACAATAATGATAATGCAAATTTCAGAAAATGTGTTGTTTGAAACAGAATGATTTTTACCAAGTAAATGTATCCCTCTCAAAAGCAAGATACGTGTATCTATGTTGGCCATTCTTTTTTATAAAATAAAGCAGGATCAACTCTTTAAATTGTCAGATTGGAATAGACAATACTTGTGTAACGTGCAGATAAGTCATATATTTAAATACTATTGCAAGATGAAAGCGTATTAGATTGTATTTCTCTAAAAAAGTAAAATAACAAAAATACTAAACTCCAAGCAAAAGTCAAACGGAAAACCCCATCACAAATGGCAAAAATCTAAAACTCAAACACATCAAACGAATGTATAACAACTGTCATATTCCTGACTTGGTACAGACATTTTCTTATGTAGAGATGGTTGATTACACCTGATGTTATAGCTAGCTATATCTCTCACTTGTATAACAGTTTCATCAACTTCCATTATTATGACAACAATGTGCAAACAAAACAAACAGACATAATATACTAGTCAACAAACGAAACGATACAACACTTTAGGTAGCACGGTAGTATTTGCATTCCAGAACTTAGGTTGCTCTTTTGTGTACCCTACTTAAGTCAATGTATCTGAACAGTGCGATTGGACAAAAAATACAGTATCAATTGAACATACTTTCCAAAACTGAGGGATGAATCAGGTGTAGAAAAGTATGAAATAATTTTACATACAGGTGAAAATGAATTTTTGGGAATTTTTTTTTTATTTTGTATTCACTGCATGATAAAAGCACTAGCGGCCGTAGGTTTTTAAAGATATCAAAAAAGTAAACGGTCATGATACATATTCAAATTCATTTCTGAATAGTATAAGGAAAGTACTTCAGTTAACTGTTTATGTAGAATTTTTGGCAGTGTTAGAAAGTGGTGAAAATTCTAAAAAGGCTATCATTATCCCTTATGGGCCAGGAAATACTACCGTGCCCCCTTAAATCAAATATGATATTTTACAGTTTGGTAGAAAAAATTACAAAGAGATGAAATATATTATTTTTATCGTTCTACGTGACAAAGTAACAAAAAGCAACGTTCCAGACAGTTCCTGAACCGAATACGGACGGATCAAAACCATTATCCGAAATTTCAGTTTTCGGAATGTAAAAGTGAGCATGACCGTCTCTCGCAGCTACCACCGCTTCACACCTACGAAGCATAGATCCAACCAAAGTGATAATGTTGGATTGGGGGATATTATTCAACTCCTGTATGAGAGCCAAATACACACTTTGTAGCATTTCCGGTGGATTTTGCCTTCGCGAACACGTCTCAAGATGCTCCCATAAATGTTCTTTAGGAGAGATATCTGGTGATAATGCTGGACAAGGGAGAACTCGAAAATGATTTTGTTTGAAATAGTCCATACAAATCCATGCCAAGTGACATCTAGCGTTATCCTGTTGGATAAGGTCAAACATGTCTACTTTAGCTTAAACCTGACACAAACTTTCTGGAAAATTAACTTTTTAGTGTTGAATAAAATACCACCAAAATTAAAACATTTCCATATGGGAAAAATAATAAAATGGTTGTATACACAGAAGTTAAATGCGCCATGGATGTGAAAGAAAATTCTTATATAGAATATATGTATTTATCATGCTCATATTATGCTTGAAGCCATATATTAGGAAGCTTAGTTCTTGAGAAAAAGGTACTAGTAGTTTCTCTTTTGAGTAAAGAAATATATTTTCAATGATCCGGCTTTTTTCCTTGTTTTGTTGTACGTGGTAAAAGTATGCACTAGCATGTATTGGAGAAACTGTCCGTATTTAACCCTTACTTTAAGAGATACTTAGTGACGATATCATTATAATCTGCACCTATACATACATATATAACTCTGCTTTTAAATTCCCTAAAAATGTTACTCTTATGTTTGAAATGTATTAAATTAATATGATTTCGCAGAATGATGCCGTCAGTTTGAGAACTCACAATGGCAGTACCATGTACCGTCAAACAACCTTGTATAAAAGTGTGCAACCATCTGGTTTCAAAGTAGTAACGTTTATATGTTTACATATCTCAATTGATACGTTATTCTCGTGCATGTTCACACTATACGGACTTCATATACAGGAGTGTGCTCCTAACGCATAAACTGCTCCAACAAAGTTATGAGGAGGACAGATTAAAAATGACACTCCGTAAATTTAACGGACACCATCACAAATTGGTTGATCCATACGATGTGTCTTTGTCCAAATTAACTAAGGACATTTTTACCACGTGTTAGATTGTGGTGTGTCATTACGTCGTCTGATCTTTTAATTACCGAACGTGACTTATTCCCGATTTGATTGTGTTGCTGAGTGTGACTTCGCATTTCTATAAGACGTGTCACGGTACTTTTCTATCCCAAATTCATGTATTTAGTTTTGATGTTATATTTGTTGTTCTCATCGGATTTTGTCAAATGTCTTAACGTTTGTAGTCGTAAATTTTATTTTTTTCTGTTGTATTCGTGGTAAAGATAATTAATCACCCAGTTCATTTATTAGATTTTAGTTTGGGTCAACGAAATTTATACGATATATTTGGTTAACAGTTTGATTCAGAAGAAACACCGACATAGCTAGCAAATATAAATAATTATCTAATAACTACCACAATTTGATATTAATTAGTATTGTAATTTTCATTGTTATCAATAAATGTTATATCAGTATTACAAATCTTATCTTGAATTCTATCCTAATTCTATCTTATTTTTAGGATTTATTTTTAGAAATTCAAATGTATCGTCACTTTGTATGTTGATGGCTTTGGCTAACTCGGCTGTGTATTTTTATGTGCTGGTTTAGGTAGTTTTATGTAATGTATCCGTTTTTATTCTGTAGTTAGTCACCACTTCGGTGTTATCATGTATATCTATTATATAGTCATTTTATAAAATTTACTGTTTGGAAACGTATGAATCATTCTAAATAATAAGGATGTTATTATCCCAGGAAGAAAACCCTAGCCGTAGTGCTCTTCAACTTTGTACTTGTTTTGGTTTTCGAATTTTTTTCATCTGAGCGTCGGTGGTTGGTCTAGTGTGGACGAGGCGCGCGTTTGGCGTGTTAAGTTTTAGACCTGGTACCTTTGTTAGCTATTATTCGTGTGTTTCTCTGTCCTATATGTTCTCCCATTTATTTGTATTGTAGTCCTGTCATGTAATGTTGTCATTTTAATGTTATATTTAACATTGCCATAAAAGCGAGAGGTTTGGCATGCCACAAAACCAGGTTC